TCACATGGCTCATCCGGTAATATGATCAGCTAGCCAATGGCGTTACTGTCGAGAATTTTTGATGCTGGTAGTGAATTCGTTTAATTTGAAATGAGCGTTATACAGAATGTTCCCGACCTACTTGTGGGTAGCAAAAAATAAAACTGTTGAGTTTATGTGTAGTTCACACACTGTCCATTGCACAAGAAATACATTTTTGCGACAACGTTTGCTACTGGAAGAACGGTATCATCTTTTTGATTTCTTTGGTCAGCTTCTAATTTGCATTTCATGTGTGGCCAATCTGTCCCTCTCGTCCTCTGGCACGCACGTAATATCTCACTATTGAATTCGGGAAATTCTGTGAAAAATCGAATTCGGCCCATTCCTCCAACTTTGGTTTATTGATTTCTCGCTCTCTATTCCTCCCTCACGCAATTCAGTAATGCCCTATCCGGGTGAGAGTGGTCTCGAATCGCTGGGCTCAAACAATTCAATCGAAGAGGTTCAAGCCATGCTCAATGCTCGATATCCAGATGCCTACGCGGTGTACAACTTGAGTGCGCGAACCTATCGATCCGATCGGTGGTTTGATGGCCGCGTCTCACACAGGGTTTTCGAACCGAATCGTGCACCCGCTTTGCGCTCACTGATGGAGCTCTGCCTGAACGCCCGATTGTGGTTAAGCCAGAAACCGGAGAATATCTGTGTGATTCACTGCACAGACGGACGGGCGTTGTCCGCGATCTTGGTCTGTTCCCTGTTATGTTTCTGTCGTCTGTTTGACAATGTGTCGCCGGCACTGCAGCTGTTCTCATCCAAACGGGGCAATCCTCATTTGTCCCCGTCACAAATTCGGTGAGTAAGTGGTATGCGCTAAATCCTTTCCGAATTAGTACTCCTTTATTCCTCTGTAGTTGCTCCTCTGTCAATTTTTGATATCGTTTGGATTGCACAACTAGCTCGTGAAGCAGGCGAACATATGATGATTGATTAGCCTTTTGTTTGTTCCCGCCCGTTTGACTGTCCTCTCGCTGAAACTGCTCATTACACTAGTGGTAGATTGCTAGAGTTGCGCGGTACTCGTTGCCTTCTATCAGAATGTAATGTAAAGTGACTAGGTACATTTTTTATTAGCAGCATTTTTTGTGTGATTAGCAGTAGATGAGGTGGACCTCCTTGTCAGTTATGGAAACCCGCAACCCAAGCTCCGGTATTTGGGCTGGCGAGCCAAATAAGGCCTCGCTAGGTTAGGCGTGGTATTAAACCGGACGACAGCAAAGCTGTATACCACCAAATTTGGGTGGGGGTGGCACGGTTCGAATATCGGACCATAGGATCCGAAGCACACCGCTGGCAGCGACTGAACCACCACCACCACGAAAGCTGCTAAATGTGGTGGCTCATCCCAGCTTACCGCGATATCATCCCCAGCGTTAGATTATCACTTGCTTTGGTTCGTTATTGTCACTGTATTCCGCTACACATTCATCTTATCACTACGCACTTAGGTTATAGGTTGTGATTCTGCGTCCTATCTGGTTTGGTTACAATTCCGTTCGACCCCTCTATTCGACTTCATTTAACAGTGTTTTCCGTGTGATTGTTTCTAATCTTACCTAATCGTGCGCTGCTTTTCGTTTTCAGTTATATCGATTACGTAGCCCAACTGGCTCATGGTCGTATTTCTCCTCCACACCAACGTCCTTTGAAGTTGATCAAACTGACTGTCGCTCCAGTGCCCACATTTAACAAGTCTAAGTAAGTACTGTGTTACAGTACTGCGTAAAGATCTCACCAACTTTTTTTTGGAGGACTGCGATCAGTTCAGGGTGCATTTTTAGTTTGTTCTCATCTCATGATAAAACAGTGATGAAAGATATATAGAAATCATTTATCTGTCCATCCACCACTCTTTGTCACCACATCGCACCTTTTACCGATCAGTTCTTCCGGTCGCGTGAATTGATCTATTTGGACGATTAAACTGCATGTCTCTATCGTATTGAGTTTCACCTAGATAAACAGAGCAAAGCGTAATTGAAATGGTGAAAAATAGCTTGATCAAGAACCATAATGCTCATCAGGCCTGTGAGTTCAGTAAAACTGTCCAGTTATTCGTGTACTTTTACTTGAATATGCTAGAGAGTTAACAGGTGCCAACTGAATGTGAATCGGTCATCTTACCGATTTACAAGAAATATGATAGGTCCTTGTTTGAAAACCACTGAACTGAAATGAAAACCACACAGGAATTAGTTTGCTCAACGTCGTTCCTAAACTTCTGACTGGTGTCATACTCCGTCGATTGTCTGTCCCACGTGAAAGGCGCACGCGTGAGAATCAGGTGAATTTTAGACCCGGTCAAGGTTGTATCGACCAAATTTTCACTCCATCCCCAAGTCGAGAACACAGGCACTCCTTTCGTAAACCCACCATTTCTCTCTTCCTCGATTTGAAAGCGGCTTTCGACTCACTTGATCTCTCTTTAGTTCAATACTGCCTGAGAAGTTTATGTCGATACTGCTATCCCTTTAAACCGGAACCGATTTTGAGCTTACGGCAGTTTTTCGCTCAAGTTCGTCACAAAAAGCGGTGTTCGTCAGGGTTGCCCCCTTTCCTTTTCTATTCAACTTTGTCGTCGATTTGATTTTTGAAACAGTCATGTCCTCGTGGAGGATAGCAGTATCGATTTGCTCCCAGGAGTATGCAGATGACATTTCACTACTAAGCTGAGATCTGGGTAAGTTGCAAGCTTTTCTGGACATTTGATGTGTTCGGCATGTAAATATTGGGTTAGTCCAGCTCTTTACCTCAACTGGGGGACTAACAGAGCAAGTGGACAAATTTCGTTATTTCGGCAACTATATCTCCCCCGGCGGAAGCTTTAAGAATGAATTGTCGGCTCGCATACGGAAGGCTCGATTGGCATTGGATAACTTCAGACGTCTATGACGCTTCCGCAACATCCGGCTGTTTGTGAAAGGTGGAGCGTATGCTGCAGCGGTTCGGCCGGTATTACTGTACGGCCCAGAAATTTGGCCATTACAAAAACGAGTGAGCGAGAGAGACAGAGAGACTTTCGATGTTCGAACGCCAGATAGTAGGTGGAAAAAAGCCAAAGGTAGGCAAACTAAGACCTGACATAATGGTATGAAAACCCCAACCAGGACACTGGGTCACATAGGTGCCGTTAGGCCTCCTGAATGGGAACCCCGAGATCATGTTAACCGGTAGTTAGGGACACTGGATGATACGATTGTGTCGTGAACAGTAGTGGCCGTGCATTTTCCTTGCAATCTACTTTACATGAATTCTCCATTGCAACCTTGACACTGCTTTCATCTTTCCCATCATCCTCCATCCAAATGGGCAACCAAAACCGTTGCACAAAATTGCACGGTTTATGGTTGTTTAAACTGACCAAACTGAAACTGTACTTGTTCATATGAACTTCCCTACATTTTCTCGGCTTGCACGCATATCAGTGAGTATTTTTGAGAGCAGCCCATCTCAAAGTAGCCTTAATGGTTTTGGTATTATTTGGCGAAGGTACTGTGGTGCAAATCATAACGAGAATACAAGAATCACTTGATGAAGGAATAGCTGGTACGCATTCCAGACGGGCGACAATAGTCGCAAAAGTGATTATTAGTTTCTAAAAGATCTTTTCAAGTCTCATTTACTGCTTATCACCGACCCCTTAATTTAATCTCAATTAAGGTTAAAAACGTGCATCCTAAAAATTGCCCCTGGAGAAGAGCTTTTTTATTTTTTAATACACATCTTAGTGTGATAAACAGCAGACGAGGCGAACTCCATGGTCACGAGGACCTGCCGTTCAGTGGTGGAAACCGGCAACGTAGGCCGCGGGACTTGGAG